AATAGTGTGTACTCCAATGTGCCTGTTATGTCTGAGTACTCAAATAAGTAAAATCATGCAGTCTTTTGGAAATTTGCTTAGAAGTTTGGATGACTACTGCAAATAGTCATTTCTGTTTTGCAGTAATAATTCGCTTTTTCCCCCACAAAGACAGACCAACTGCTATTTGCCAGGCTCTGGGAACAGGTGAATATTCCCTGCTCTTAGGAACTGACCTTCTAACCAGTGCTCCTTTTAATCGTGTGGCTCTGACTCTGAATGGGGTCTGCCCTCCCATGAACTTTGCCAGAGGGGGGCTCAAAGCACAAAGGGTTTATACTGGGTGGGGCTGTGGTAGAGGACACAGGTGATCATCCAGGATGCCACAGACCCCTCTGCTCACCCTTGTGTGGCCAAGCACATGCTTGTCCATTACAGAGGAAGTCCATTTGCTTTGCAACTCATTAGAACTGGGCTATAACATTTCTCTCTTTTTTAGTTATTTACAAAAGTAAGTTGTCTTTAACAAGTCAAACATTTCAGAATTGTATAAAGAGAAAAAGATAATAATCATCATGCCCCCTTTAGATCCTATCACTCTAAATTAAGTAATAGTAATAATTTGATTATACCAGGTTTTTCATTCTCTTCCTTCCTTTTTATTTTATTACTAGAGGCCTGGTCCACGAGATTCGTGCACTTGCGGGGGGTGGGGGGGATCCCCTCAGCCCAGCCTGTGCCCTCTCACAGTCCAGGAGTCCTTGGGGGATGTCTGACTGTAGGCCCATGGGGAGCGGGCCTAAGCCATCAGTCAGACATCCTTAGCGCTGCCACAGAGGCGGGAGAGGCTCCTGCCACCGCTGCTGCGCTCGCCAGCTGTGAGCCCTGTGGGAGTGCACTGACCAAAGATAGAAATGGGGATGTGGGATGATGTATATGCATTAGACTTCTCTTCTCAAAAGGGAACAAGAAGTGGAAGAGATGTGACAGAGAAAACTGGGAGAGGAAGAATGTATTATGCTGCCTCCCACTTGTGTTATCACTACTTCTTCTTAGCCACCTGGGCCAACATGGGCTCCAGATTTCAGGAAGGGTATTCCCTGTCCATAGTCCTCCCACTCTGCCTACATTCTGCTGTTCTTAAATCACAGCTGACGTTCTGGGAAACAAATTAATTCATCAGGTCAATAAAATGCTGGAAGCTCTGGAGTTTGACCACCTCTGAATGTTGCCCATGGTCCACAGTGACAATGTTCACAACTAGATTTACACACGGGAGTGGTGGTGGGAAAGGGGAGACAGCCGATGGGCAGATGCTAAAGGACTTACATATCGCCTGCGCTGATAGTCATAATTTTCTGCAGGCCCCCAGTGTTTAGAAGGTCCCGGGCATTCTGGTAACTGTTCTGGGTTAAGTTGTTCAATGTGTAACAGGCAGAGGCTGTAGTTTCAATGAGAAGCTCAGTACTTGGAACTGTGTCAGGAATTATGGCAACCAAATCAGGTAGAGTTTCTTTGGCTACAAAATGAAAGAAAAAGAACACTTGTTTACAAAGACTGTTTTTTAATCTCAAGATCCCAGTAAGTTTTGGGTAAAGAACATTTTAAAGAGGAAATACAGCATATGGAAAGATGTAACCTCTCTAATATTGGAGTTTTGAAAGGATTTTTAAAAAGATGATGCTGTTTGCTCAATACACTGGAAATCTTTTCAGAAAGGAATTTGATAGAAATAGCAAGAAATTTAAAAATTTTCACATTCTTTGTTTGACTCAGTAATTTCATTTCTAGGAATTCAAACTAAAGATATCACTTTAAAAATAGAAAAAGCTGCTGAAACCGGTTTGGCTCAGTGGATAGAGCTTCGGCCTGCGGACTGAAAGGTCCCAGGTTCGATTCCGGTCAAGGGCATGTACCTTGGTTGCGGGCATATCCCCAGTAGGAGATGTGCAGGAGGCAGCTGATCGATGTTTCTCTCTCATCGATATTTCTAACTCTCTATCTCTCTCCCTTCCTCTCTGTAAAAAATCAATAAAATATATTTAAAAAAAAAATAAAAATAAAAATAGAAAAAGCTTTATGTAGAAATCTTTATTATAGCATTATCTATAAATGAAAAATTATAATAAGTCTAATAGAATATAATACATCTGCAAAGAATTTTATGTAAAATATATCTATGAAGCACACAAATAATAAGAAAATACTTATATTAATATTCTATATAAAAATCTATACTTATTTATATAAAGAATACATAATATTATAACATTAGGAAACAAAATACACATAAGAAATCTTAGAAGCAATACATTAAAATATTAATAGTTGTTTTTCTATAACAGTATTGATGGTGACCTAAGTATATTTAAAAAAATTATCTGCCCAAAGTTTATTTAATACACAAATAATACTATCATTTTAAAAAGATAGATTATTTTAAATTTATTTTTCACTAACTATGCAAGTTCTTGGTAGCAGGGTTTTAGTTTGGCTTCTTTTGTAGAAACAAGAGCGGTAGTAATGGTTGATGATTTCATTATAACTTGCCCTGTGGTATATATTTTGGACAGTATGAATTTGTACTTGATTTTTTGCAATAATTATTTTCACAGATGCTTTCTCTTTTTCTCTAACTAGATTGGACTCTCCTTAAAAGATATGGAAGGGGAGGGTAGGAAGAGATCAACCAGCAAAAGCATATGCATATATGCATAACCCATAGTCATAGACAATAGGGTGGTGAAGGCTTTTGAGGGGGGTCAAAGGGGGAGAAGGCAATGGGGGGAAAAAAGGTCATATGTAATACTTTCAACAATAAAGATTTATTTTAAAAAAAGATATGGAACATA